TTTTTTTTGGTTTTTTTTTTTTTTTTTTTGGTTTTTCGAGACAGGGTTTCTCTGTGGCTTTGGAGCCTGTCCTGGAACTAGCTCTGTAGACCAGGCTGCGAACTCACAGAGATCCGCCTGCCTCTGCCTCCCAAGTGCTGGGATTAAAGGCGTGCGCCACCACCGCCTGGCCCCAAATTCTTTTACCAGTTTTTATGGTGATTAATTTGGCAATTTATGAACAAAAGACCAATTTTGATTTGGCCATAACATCTCTACACATATTTTCCCCTCCTTGTAAGATTTTAATATTTTTTCCATAAGATTGCTATTATAAACTAAAATGTACTTAGTTGCGTTTTGGTCATTGTAATGAATTTGTGCAATGTATTACGTACAGGTTTGTGGTATGGTAGTTTTTTTTTAAAAACTGTTTAGATACACAAATACTGGCTGTTATATACCTCCATGGTAAGTACAGTAACATGTTGTACAAATTGATTAAAAAATAAGCTGTGGGAGCGGAGAGATCACTCAGTGGTTAAGAGCACTGACTGCTCTTCCAGAGGACCTGGGTTCAATTCTCGGCACCCAGATGGCAGCTCACAGCTGTCTGTGACTCTAGTTCCAGGGTACCTGACAGTCCATGCACATAAGATAAAAATGCCTAGCACCCCATGGCAGCTCACAACTGTCTGTAACTCCATTGCAGGGGATCTGACAACACAAACATACATGTAGGCAAAATACCAACACAAATAACTATAAATTATTATTATTATTACTTATTTATTTGTTTGTTTGTTTATTTATTATGTATACAATAATCTGTCTGCATGTATGTCTGCAGGCCAGAAGAGGACACCAGACCTCATTACAGATGGTTGTGAGCCACCATGTGGTTGTTGGGAATTGAACTCAGGACCTTTGGAAGAGCAGGCAATGCTCTTAACCACTGAGCCATCTCTCCAGCCCATAAAATAAAATTTTTAAAAATTATTTGAGTTAGCCAGACAGTGGAGGTGCATACCTTTAATTTCAGCATTTGGGAGGCAGAGGCAGGTGGATCTCTGTGAATTCGAGGCCAGCCTGGTCTACAGAGCTAGTTTCAGGACAGGCACCAAAGCTACAGAGAAACCCTGTCTCGAAAAAGCAAACAAACAAACAAAAAATTACTTGCGTTTGAAAGTACCATCTAAAGATTTAAGAGGTAAAACTATGAAAATCAGAAAAGGAAACTATGAGAAAATTTTCAGACCTGGATTTGACAACAGTTGCTTAGATGTGGCTCCAAGAAAACAAGGTATAGGAGAAAACTAAGATAAACTGTGCTGCATCAGAGTTAAAAGCTTCTGTGCATGAAAGGATACTGCTGGTCTACCAGTATGAACCATTGGTAGAACATGTAGCTAATCAGCATACATCAAGTCCTGGGTTCAGTCTCCAAGACCATGGAAAGATAAAAGTTTAAAAAGGAATGCTGTATGGGACTGGGGAGATGATTTAGTGGCTGAGAATACTTGTTCTTACACAGCACCCAGGCTCAATTACCAGCACCCACATGGCAGCTCACAACCATCTATAACTCTAGTTCTGGGTGGGGGCACTGTACACAAGTACTACACAGACACACATGTAGACATAACACTTATACACTTAAATTAATATAAAATCAAAACATACATTTAGTGTGTATATATTTATGTGTGTCTAGTACACGTGTCGTGTTCAGAGGACAACCTGCAGAAGTTGGAGTGTATGTCTGTGTACCGCATGTGCAGTACCTGTGGAGGGCAGAAGAGGGAGTCATATTTCCTAGAACAGGAGTTATAGATGATTGTGAATTACTGTGTGGGTGCTGGGAATCGAACCCATGTCTTCTGGAAGCTCAGTCCATGTTCTTAACTGATAAACTATTTCTCCAGCCCTTTATTTACTTATTTAAAAATAGTTTTTGATATAGTCTCCTGGTAGCTCAGAATGGCCTTGAACTTCTTTATCCCCTGTCTCTACCTTATAGGTATTGCCATCATACCAGGCTACATTTTAAAATTATCTATTTGTTGGGAAGCCTTTTAAAAGTAAAAACTTCCTCCAGGCAGTGGTGGTTTCTCTGTAGTTGTGGAGCCTGTCCTGGAACTAGCTCTTGTAGACCAGGCTGGCCTTGAACTCACCTGTGCTGGGGTTAAAGGCCCAGCTGGTGGTTCACCCTTTTAATTCTAGCACTTGGGAGGCAGAGGCAGGCAGATCTAGGTTCAAGGCTACCTTGGCCTAAAGAGTGAGTTCCAGGATAGCCAGGGCTACACAGAGAAACCCTGCCTTGAAAAACAAAACAAAATAAAACAACAAAATAGTAAAAATTCTGAAGGTTTCACCAGAACCATTCTGAGTCAGATCTGTGGTGAGGCCCAGGAAATTGATGTCTTGTCCTTGTCCCATGACCATTCCCCCACCCCTTTCCACCCACTGAAGATCGTACCCTCAGGGCTTCATGTATGCGAGTATTATACAAATAAGTATAATCCCATCCCCTGAGAAGGTATAATGCTCAAAGCTCCAGTACTATCATGAGAACCAGTGCATTAAGTAACAGGAAATATTCAAAATAACTGATCTTAACAGTTTAGCTGCATATGTGTGTGTATGGTATGTGTGTGTGTACATGTATCAAAGTAGCATATCCAGAATTGGTGGGTGCACCTGTGCATGCAACACACACACATACACACACACATCAAATGTAGGTCAAGGGCAGGTACATTTTCGGGAGACTTAATTAGTTGAATTGGGGACGGCGGGGGGGGGGGGCTGTGTGTGTGTCACATCAGCTTAGAGCGGTGTTAGTGGCTGTTTATAATTTATGTGATTGAGAAAAGCCAAGCGTACCTGGGGATAAAAGAGTATCACATACACCAAATATTCCTGAAGTGATCCTGCTCAGGGAGAGAATGGGAGAGTGTCTGAAGATAATAGAATACCGTGCTGAACATGAAAAACTTGAGTTCCAATTCTGGTTAAAACACTATCTCTAGCAGACTCTGGAACTCATTTTCCTGTTAGATCAAAGGAAACAGGTTTGATTTACAATGACAATGACCATTTAAATTCTGAACTAAATTAAGATATTACTTGTTTCCTTTCTTACCACAATATGTTAGATACTATATCACTTACTTTTACTTTGTGTACTACAAATTTGGGCCAGATTCTGGAAACAAAACAAAACTAATTTTATTCATAAAAGAGAGATGTTGAAGGGTGGAGGATATTCAGCAGATTGGTTTTTAGAGCTCCTTAGAAATTTCAGCCTATAGGAATTTATCCATATACCGAGATTTGCTCTATACATTCAAGGAGCATATTTCCCATTGTATTCAGAGATGCATATCAATTATTTAGTTAAAGAATGCTGGAGCTAATGCCTCCAGGCTCAGTTTTTAGGCCCCAGAGGAAAGATGGCTTCAGCTTGCTTTTATGTTTTCCTCCTTAGGCTTTGCAGATAGCTCGGGGAGTAGACTGCACTCAGCCCCTGGTCTTGATCTCTCACGGACTCCAGCAGCAGAAATGGAGAACGTTCTTCATGGACCAAGCACAGCGCCTGTCTCCCAGGTACCAGCCTTTTTTGCTGAGGTACTGGATTTGGGTGGGTGCTAGAGAAGACAGTGAAAGGTTGTAGTGCACACATGTGGTGATCTGAGACTGCAAGGAGAGTGTGATCTCAGATCCGGCTGACCGCCTTTGGGATCTGTCTAATGTAGATGTTAGTTCTGAGTCTTAACCGATTTTTCCCATATCCCCGAGTACAAGGGCTGGGGGGAAAAACACAGGCTCAGTGTCTTACATCTGCCTGTGTGTGTCTGTGTGTCTGACGGCTGCAGCTTGTGGAGACCTCATCAGGGGATGTGGGAGGATGCATCTTACACAGTCTTAAGTGGCAGCCTTTTCTCAGAAAGGGAGGCTGCTCAGGTCTCTTCCATAGGTTTGTAAGTCAGTCGAGTCAGGAATCATCTGTTCAGCGCACCTTCCTCCTTGCTAGTAAAAATATAGTGGATGTGGAAGAGCAGGGAGAAGCTTCAGTTGCCATTTGGGGAAAGTAAAGTACATTCACCCTGAATTAGGACAAGTGTTCCTTATTTACACGTGTATTCAAAGTCCAGAGAATGGTCCTTTCCTGGAGCAGTTTTGCAAGCTTTGCAACCCTCTTAGATGGATCCTAGGATGTAAAGAGTTGTGTTAATGCTTATCTCTGACAAAATTCCTATGGAGACAAGGGAGGTAAGATTTATTTCAACTTGTGATCTTAGAGGTTTCTCTCTGTGATTGATAGCTCCTTTGAGTTGGGCCTGATCCAAGGCAGAACATATGTTAGAGAGGGCCATGAAACAGAGTAACAGTGATGCAGGGGTCCAGGGACAGGTCTGCTTTGCAAAGGCACATGTTTAAGTGATTGCTGTCTCCAAATAGTACATACTTTTTTTTTTTTTTTAATTGTTATTGTGTTCAAGACAGGGTTTCTTGTGTAGCCTGACCAGGCTGGCCTCAAACTCACAGATATCTGCCTGCCTCTGCCTTCTGAGTGCTGGGATTAAAGGCTTGCGCCACCACCACCTGGCTTCTTCTGAGACTCTTACATACTTTTTAAAATAAGTTTTAAGAAGCTGTCAGCATACAAAGCATTCTACTTTGAAGTTTTTCCACCAGGTCAATTTGATAAAAATAGGTTTTACTTTATTTACTTTATTATTGTTACTGTTTTTATTATATACAGGGTCTCATTATTTACCCTGTCTGGTGAACCAGGCTGAACTCCACAGAGATCTACCAGCCTCTGCCTCCAGAGTGCTGGGGATGAAAGGCGTGTGCTACTACATCAAGCTTACTTTATTTTTATTTGTAGTACCAGACTGAACCTAGGACCTCATATGCTAGGCAACTCTCTACACCTAACTATCTACACTAAACCCCTTAAAAATCAGTTTTAAATCCATGGTACAATTAAAAAGGTCCAAAAGGATATATAGTGCAAGCTGTCTCTGTCCTACTAGCCCTTCATACCCAATTCTCCTCCCAAAAGGAACTCTAAAGGGTGGGAGTGTCAGTTCTTAAATGAATGAACATTTCTTCTTCCTTCTCCTCCTCCTCTGCTTCCCCTCCTCCTTTTGCTACTTTTCCTTCTCTTCCTCTTTGTCTTCTGTCTCCTCCTTTTCTTTTTTGGGAATAGGTGGTTTCCCTGGCATAGCATTTGTTCTCACATATTTTCAGTGCATTTAATCTAAATGTTATTTTCCTAAGAGAGTTTGCTTTTGTCTGGTGTATCATACACTTATTTATTAATTTTGCGTATCTTTTTAAAACAATGCTTATTGAACTTATTATATTTGTTGCTATGCCAGGCTCTGGGGAGACGGTGGTTAATGAGTCTCTGGTTTTGTGGAACGTTTAGTCTACTACAGGGACAGATGAACACAGTTTTTTTAAAAATTAATTTATTTATTATGTATACACATGCTAGAAGAGGGCACCAGATCTTACTATAGATGGTTGTGAGCCACCATGTGGTTGCTGGGAATTGATCTCAGGACTTCTGGAAGAACAGTCAGTGCTCTTACCCTCTGAGCCATCTCCAGCCCTAAACACATAGTTCTATAATGTGATTAAATACTTGCTGCTCTGAGACCATCACAGAAAAGGTTAAGTATCAGGGAAGGCTTCATGGAGAAGAAAAATGAATATACCAGGCAAAGGGAAATGAAGTAAATCTTCATTGGATTAAAAGAGGATAATTGGGTATGACAGGATTAGAATATCTGATGAGGAGAAATGATGGAAATGTTGGCAAATGATAGCAAAGAATATAAGCAAGAGTCAGATCATAGAGCACACGGGATTCTGTAGGTCCCACAGGAGTCTGAGAGGCTAGAGAGAAGTAAATATATTGGAGAGTCAGTTAGGAAGTAAAAGAAATGAGATTGGTGCCTGCCTGCTTGCCTGCCTTCGTATGGAGGGAAGATAAACCAGGGATGATATTCAAGTTTTATGGGTTGATAATTGTGTTTGGGAAAGCTGTATAATTAATTTTGGGTATAGTATTCATTACTGAACATAGCTCATAATGTCTGGGTATGAGACACATGGGCTAGCAGTTGAGAATGGATTGGGACTCCTAGCCACTGAAAGGAGGGAGAAGCATGATAAAGATAGGAAATGGGCCGTGCCGTTCTTGTGAAGAGTTTCACATTTAGGTGGCTCTTTTTCTGAAGAAGCTTAAAACAATACATAAAAGGCAGCAAGAGCTCTCAAAGGGAAAGTGGGGATTCTACTAGAAATCCTTTCTCTGTGAAACACTTTCATAAATATCATGAACATAACTGATGATATAACACAAATTCTGCCCTTGAATAGCTTGCAGCCCATTAAAGGAAACTAAGTATACTGGCATAGATTGTTTCATTTACCATGTTGTTTAGTGAGAACTTGCATTGTTTCCGATGTTAGGGATACTGAAATGAAGTGTCTTCTACTATAGGAAGAAAGACACTTAATAAGCAAATGATATAACTCAAGACAGTTATAATTATGATAATGAAGACTAAAGTAAGCCAAGGGAAAAGGTGTTAAAAAGGTAATGTCTTTCTTTAGGACTGTTTTTAGTTAGGGTAGTGAAAAATACCATCTTTGAGAGGAATTAATATTTGATTAGACTTTAGTGATAGGAAGTTTGGGACCATGAAAGAATATTCTTGGTAACAGAAGAGCAAGTCTAAATGCCTGAGATAGGATGAGTTAGTGTGTTTGAGAAATATGGAGAAAGGCTAGGTGTGATGGTGCTTGCCTGTAGTACTTACACTTCTGAGGCTGAGGCAGGTGTATTTTAAGTTTGAGCCATTCTGTGTTACATAACAAGATGCTGTCTCCAAAATAATAATTATAATAAGAATAAGCAAATAAGAAAAGGGAGGGTGCGTAAAGGGCACAGAGACAATATAGGATTAGGTGAGATCAGTCACACTGTATCACATGGGACCTTGTGGCAGGTAACAGGAGATGGGAAGATCAGATTAAGGCTTTTGTAGTGGTCTAGGCAAATTTAAATGTGAAATCTGTAAGTAGAAATGTCTCTTTAGCGATGGTGAATGGAAATAGGAAGTTAAGGGCAACACCAATGTTTATGTCTGAGTAAATATGTCTTAGAAAAATATATTAGGAAGAGGAGTTTGGAAACTGTTCAATTTTGGATGTTTTTGATGATAAAGTAAATATTTCTGGATCTTTATCACAAAAGTGAATGGAGCCATGCAGGACATAAGCAACTGGAAATAGGAACATGGCATGCAGAAGAGGCAGCTGTGCATGGAGCTTTGTAGGGCAGACATGGAGTAGAGTTCAGTTGTATAGGTAGTTTAGTGCCCAGTGTAGATTCATTTCACCTCTAAGTCTGTTTAAATACCCACCCCACCTCCTTCTCTGTCTCCTTTTCTGTCCTCTGTCTCCTTTATTTTTGGGGGTACCAGGATTGAACTCAGAGCCTACTCTATAATAGAGCTACATCCCCAAATCCTATTTGTTTCATGGTTATTGTTTTTCTTTTCTCTTTCCTTTCCTCTTCCCCTTTCTTCCTTCATTCCTTCCTTCATTTTTTTTTTTTTTTTTTTTTGAGAAAGAGTATTACTTGTATAGCCTAGACATCTTTGAACTTACTATATGGGCCAAACTAGCTTTAAACTCAAAGTAGTCTTGCTTAGTCTCTTGAGAGCTGTGATTATAGGTGTGCATGTATTAATCAGCTCCTATTTTCAATTTCTATTTCAATCTCTTTAATTGTACTGTTAGCATTGAAGAGATTGCTAAAGGCCCCGATGGTGAACTTAGGAAGGTAGAGATGGTGGAAATGGTAGAAGGAGAGGACTGTAAGCCTTTTCTAGGAAGCCCAACAAATGTTATAGTGGAATAAGATGAGTCCTTCTCTAGAAAAGGTGTGTTGTTCTAGTTTCTTCCATTTCCCCCCCACTTGCCTCACTGTGTTTATCCAACCGCATCCTACCATGTTAACCCTCATCTTTGTGTGTGTGTGTGTGTGTGTGTGTGTTTTTTGTCTTGTCTCATTAAAAGGATTCATCAAACGTGAGGAAAAAGACTTTGGAAACCGGGCACCATTGTTCCAGCTCCTCCTCCCTCCCTGTCATCCATGACCCTCCTGTATTGCTCCTTGATCCTAAACTCTACCCTCCCCAACCACAGTTCCTGTCCCCTGATGTTCTGATGCCCTCAGGTAACACCCCAAATTAATATTATCTGCTAAAGTGTGATTGTTTTTCAGGGTTAAATCAATATACCTACTGGAAAATATATGAATTACTGTTTTAAGATCAAGCACTGATCTTCATGAAGTATGACTGAATAATATTTTAGATACCATGATCCGTTGTTGAGAGTGAACCAAACTGTCCAGTCGTGAAAGAGTAGGTTTGAAGTGGTGAAGTGTAGTTAATAACTAGCCTTTGGGATCCTCCCCCAAACTGAAAGTATCATCTCTTTTAGCTAGTTTTCACCCCTGCTATTTATTGAGTTCCAGTTGAGGGATGGTGTAGGAGGGAAGAAATGAATGGAAGACCGGAAAGACACTGTACCTTGAGAACTCATGTCATAGGTACAGACCCAGATGGTCTGCAGGAAGATGGGCAGCACCATTCTGGCTTGTTGAAGGAGCTGCAGGCCGCTTCTTGCCACCCAGCTCCCGGCTGCCTGGCTAGCTTATGCCCCAAAATGACAACACACAAACAGTATTCATTTAATATCATTTAATATCATTTAATATCATTTAATACACAGGGCAGTCCTTCTGATTCCAATGTCGTGAAAGAAATGTATAGAAAAGACTTTCTGTATTGTATATGAGGTAAGAGTAGTATGAACAAAAGTAGCAGTCTCAGAAATTTAACAAGGATTTAAGAGAGGACACTTAACTGCTAAGAAAAGCCAACTGAAAAACCAAACAAACAAAAAATGCTAGGCAGTGAAGGTGCTTGCCTTTAATCCCAGCACTTGGGAGGCAGAGGCTGGTGGATCTCTGTGAGTTCTAGGCCAGCTTGGTCTACAGAGCAAGTTCCAGGACAGCCAGGACTGCACAGAGAAATCCTATCTCAAAAAACATATGTATGTTTGTTTAAAAAAAAAAAGAAACAAGAAACCAAGTGAAATTTTAGTGTAATTGCTATAGGAGTTTGCAGGGGGATATATTTGTTATATAAAGTAGCCACTCTTGTGCTTGCATTTATACATGTGTGTGCATGAGTGTGTTAGAGAAAGATTACCATGGAGGGTATGGTAATATCCAAGAGACTGTTTCATTTCCCCAAAATAGAAAAAAAAATTGATTTTGATGTAATATTTAGGAGTTTTTAGGGTTAAGGCTATCTATAGCTCAGTGGTAGCTTGCTTATCTAGCATGCACAGGACCCTGGGTTCAATCCCTAGTACTGGCAAAAAAAAATTACTACATATATTAAAAACAAACCTGGGTTTTTTATTTTCTCTTGTGTGTATATTCTTGGACAAGTAAAGAGTTAGGCAAAATATCCAGGAATGGTCCTTTGGAAAAGAGAATTATTTTCTAAAGATACTCACTCAGTCTTTTGGTTTCTTTTTCCTTCTCAGGAACTTCGAGGAGTGTCCAACAGTTTCTGGCTATGTGTGACAGGGATGAAACTCCCCAAGGGGTCAAGTACACAGGAAGGACTTTGAACTACCGAAGTCTACCCCATCGTTCCAGAACCGATGCTTCCTGGGGACTAGGGCCAGAGACCAACCAGCATTTTGGGATCAGTGTTCTAACTAGGCCAGCATGCAAGCCTCAGCTAAGCTACACTGCCACACTACGAGAACGAAGCCAGGGCCTTCAGGTTCCTCATGCTCAGTCCTGGGGGAATCTTTTCCCTTCACCCTCGCATCTTCCTGCTGGTCACCCAGTGTCCCCACCCAACAGTCTTCATTCACCCCTTAGGTCAGCTTGGGATTCAGGTCCTGTTCTGGGGTCCCAGACAGCTGGCCCTCGAAGAATAGATATGCCCCCAGATAATGACTGGAGACAGGACAGTTACCCCTCCCAGCATAGGCATAGGAGGAATGAAGAGGAGAGAATTATGTTTATTCTATCAAATTCCCCTGGAAGAGAACAGGACAGGGTGAGATTTTTACAGCACAGCAGGTGGTAAGGATAACCTCTAACCTTTCCTGGAGCCATACCTTTCTCTAAAACTGTGCCATGGCAGAGTCGATACCTTGTGTCCTGCCAGTTAGGCTATAATCATCTCAACATAAAATTGGCAGCCATATGCCTGTAATCCTAACAGTTTGGAGGTAGAGGCAGGTGAAGCAGCAGTTCAAGGACTTTGGACTCTTACCAAACAGAACCACCACAACAAAAGAATTGTTTGTTTTTCCTAAGGGTGTTTGCTTCTTTGAGGGAGAATATTTGAAATTCCAGCTTTAGAACTGGGGCTGTAGCTCAGTTGGTAGAGTGTTTTCCTAACATGCACAAAGCCCAGGTTTAGAGCCTTAGCATCATGCAATACTGGTCATGGGGGTGCACACCTATAATTCTAGCACTTGGGAGGTGGAGGCAGGAAGATCAGAAGTTCAGGTTCATCCTTGGCTATGTAGCAAGTTCTAGGCTAGTTGGCTTCATAAGACCCTATGGGGGGGGGGACAAAAAGGAAAACTCAAACTTTGGCTCCTCTAACAAAAGGAAGCAACTAATGCTTAGGGCTATATTTGAGCCATTTTAAAATTGAATCTATTTTATTACTCTGGACACTAGCTATTCCTTAATATTTAAAGACATTATTTTATTCTTGGTTAAGTTTAGGTCCCCATCTCCAGCTGAGTCCTCATCTTTTGGTCCCTACTATATTCCCCACTTAAACTACTTAGTTATTACCTGGACTCTCCCTGGAGTCACGAGTCTCACCGCAGCCTAATGGGAAGCTCAACTGCCAGGAGTTATGGCTGTCAGCCTTCCTTGTGACTCAGACCTAGGCCTAGAATGTGGAGCTGCCAACAGAGTATTTGCCCTTCTGAAGAGATGGAGTTGGGCATACTAACACACCCTCCTATCCTCAGCAGCAATGCCATTACTGCCACTCCCTCCATCCCTGTTGTAAACTCTCAGAGTCAGTTAAACTATTTTAGGGCAAAGCATACTGTTTTTTGTAAAGTATTTTTCATTAATAAATCTATAAGATAGTTCTATTTAATCTCTTGTCCTTCACTTTTGTATGTTCTTACTCTTTTCTTCTGGGATCGGGAGGTCTGGACATTTATATAAAATGGCTTTTGACCAAGTAAAAATGAATAACCAAAGAGGAGCTGAAAAATACATAGTTAACTGTTGCAGTCAAGATAGCCTTAAATAAGAGTATTTTTCCTTTTGTTATGGCTGTTAGCATGTTTCCTATCCCTTTCCTGCCTGGACACTCAGTATATTACATACTTTATTCTTCCCCTTACTAAGGAGATTTTTCTGGGCATTCAAATTATCTGACATACTCCTGGTACAAGTACACTCGTGGTGCCCTTTCTCTTTACATTACAGGTTTGTGATGTGCCTCCTATCCCTTGCTCTCTCCCTATCGCCCACTCATCTCTTTCCCCTTAAGAGTCAGAACACCTGTGATAATGAGATCTATCTTCACCCAGGACACATTTCCAAAGCTCCCTTTCCTTTAAAAGATACTTTGTAGTGCCTGGAGAGATGGCACAGTGATTAAGGGAACAGGATGTTCATCCGTTGGACCTGGGTTTGATTCCCAGCACCACTTGGTAGTTCACAGCCTTCTTTACCTCCAGTACCAGGGACTATAACTACCTCTGTAGGGACTGAACACATGTGCACTCACATCTGTGCAGACAAAACACATATACACATAAAACAGTTTTGTCGGTTTCCCTGGCAAGAAAAGGAACTGGGTTTTCTGTCCTTATTTATCCCGTTGATTGACACAAATAAGAGATTGCTCTAGTGCTTCTCCAGTCATCATTGGGGACGATCCTACGCCAGGAGACACTTGGGCCTCAGTAGGTACGCTGGCCCTGACCACTCCACTGCTGCTGTCATGCACACTCTTCCAATCTTTGTAAAAATGTACCCATTTAATTTGTGTCTGTGTGAGAGGGACACCCGAGGGGCAGAGACTAAGTCGGGATAGCTTCTCCTTTCATCATGGTTTGGTGCCATATGCCTTTACCATCTGTGCCGCCTTGCGGTAACTCATCACTGAGGAACAGTCTGTTCTCGTTCCTTGACCTCATAGATGTTGGTCAACTTGATCTGTTTATGTAAGTTGTCCCGGCCCAAATTCTATGTACGCACAAAGATATAGGAACTAATTTCCAATTTTCTACCTATGTGGTCTCTGTTTTCCAACTTTTTTCATATATATGAGTATATATAATTAATATATGTAGGTATAAATATATGTATACATACTTATGTACACACATACACATAAAAAAATTTTCCCCTGCTTGAATTAAGAGGGAGGCCATGCAGGTGAACCTTACAGATTCTTTAAATATCTGTAAGATGTCATTCCCTCAGTTTCCATGACTGGTGCTTAGACTTTTTCAGCTTAACTTAAAGGCCTTCATACTTTTGACCCTTCCAAACCCCAAATGCAAGGGTCAGAATAATATGCTGACCACACCCCTGTCACCTTTTCTTTTGAGACAGACACTCACTTTGTTGCCCTGACTGGTTAGACCGGGCTATAGACTTGAACTCACAGAGTTCCTGCCTTCCTCAGTTTCCCTAGGATAAATTCTATTTTAAATGATAATGCCACTTTTTTACAGTCTACAATGACTCCTTCATTCTTATCTCCAGTCACACAGTTACGGTTTTGTTGGTAAATTGTCATCTATTTGTCTAGTAGTGGGAAATTCTGAGATCTGACTACATCTCTTCATCTTCCTGGGCCAGGGAAATGTCCTTTCTTCTTTGCACTCCTCACAGCCCCTCACAGCCCCTAAATCTGGTCTGAAACCTCTCTTTACTGTCAAGACTGCATGCAAGGAATTTTCATCTGATCCCTTGGCCTGCTCTCGTTTCGGTAGTAGGCGCGGTAATTTTGCTCAAGTCCCTGGAGCCTGTCCCGCCCCCGCCCCCGCACGCGCGGTGCATGACGGTCTTAGCCCCTCTGAAGGGAAAGAGGGTCCGCCATGTTCCTCCGCGGCACCGCCGCTTGGCTCTGGTAGCCGCCGCCCCCGCCCCCAACCCCGCCCGGCCCGGCATTCAGCCGAGCCCCGGGCCCAGCATGGCCGCCCCTGAGCCGGCCCGGGCCGCGCCGCCCCCGCCCCCGCCCCCGCCGCCTCCTCTCGGGGCCGACCGCGTCGTCAAAGGTGAGAGGTGGCCGAAGCCCTGGGGACCTGGCGCGAGGCGCGGTGTGAGGGCGGGCGGGAGCCCGTCCCCTCGGGAGCGGGCCCGGCGGGGCGGGCGAGTGACTGGCTGCCTCCCTTGGGGAGTGGCCCCTGGGCGGGTCCCCGCTGGGCCGGGCTCCCGCTCGCCCTGCGGCCAGGCCGGGGGGTTTTGCGCGGGGCGTCGCTGACGCGGGGCTCTGGGCCGCCCGCCGCAGCGAGCCCCTTTCTTTCCTGCGCCGCCCGTTACCGGCGCGGGGCCCGCGGTGAGCTTCCTGCTCCGCGACAGCTGCGCTCCGGCTCGCCCGGGCCCCGAGGGGCCCCGATCCCCTTAGCCGTGCGCAGTCGCCATGAGCCGTCGGGCTCGCCCGGGTGCTGGCCCATGCCTGCTCCCCGGTGACAGCGTCTAGCGAGCGTCTGCCGCAGGGGGTTCACGTTCGCTCTTCAGGTGCCACCCAGCGCGGAAATTGGGGAAACCGTATGGGATTGGACCAGGGTGAAGGATCCAGACGTGATCCAGGAGTCCAGTCTTTTAACTGCAGACCCAGGGAGAAAATCATATTATAATAGAAAGAAGGCCAATTTCCCATATTGTAAGAAGTAGTAGTTTAAAAGCCGTCAACATTGATTAGAAAGGGTTACCTGTCGCCTCTAACCACACGACATAACTCTCTAGACGAAAAAGTGCAATCTTTCTCAGCCAGGGAGAAATTAATGGATAATTGTCACAGGTAAACAGATTTATTTACAATAGAGAAATTGGAGAGGCAGTTGAGAAGTCTAAGAGTCCAAGCTCTGAGAGAGCACATCAACCACAGATAATACTGTGGATGTTAGTAAGAACTTTGTAGTCAGTAGACAGATACTGTAAAATAAAGATTTCGTTATTTTGATTATGCTATTTTATCTTTAAAGGTGTTTTTATTGTCAAATTTATCTTCTCAGATATACTGGCACAGTGTTTAAAGCTCAGTTTTGAACTGTGACCATGGTTTGCCATTAAAATATTTTAAAACAAGAAACCCTTTTCTCCTTTGTGTGTGTGTGTGTGTGTGTGTGTTTTTTTTTAAGTTTAAAGTTTTCAGTCTGCACTTTCGGTTCTTAAAAGAATGACACATTTTTGAACCTAGGCCTTTATGGGTTGGGTTAGACATTAGAATGAATCAAATAGTTTATGAACTTCTTTTTCTGAGAAATATTTTTTTTCTTTAAGGGAAGAGAGATCAGTCATTGATCCTATCAAATCCTTTAATTTTATGGATGGGGATTGATCTAGAGGACATGACCTACCTCTTCATTTTCTTAACTATATTTTCTGTACGTTCAGATACTTTTCACCAGAATAAAAGCTGAAGTAGCTAGTCACATTCCCAAGCCATGCATTTGTGTTGTCCTCATGTGAATCTTGTATGTGGCAGTATTTTCCTGTGCTGCTTTACTGAAGCTGAAAGGAGATTCCAAGCATAAGGCCCCGGGGTGAGCTGTGAGTCCAGACACAGCCATTCACAGCTTATTGACTCGAAATTAAAACCATTTTCCTGTGGGAAAGGCGCTTGTTTGGAAATTTTCAATTAAGAGGCTTAAGGTTACCATATCTTGTGCAGTAGTTGTATCTTCTTAATGGATACAACTTTCATTTTCTTGTGGAATTTGTTAAAATTCCTGATACTACAGTGGCACACGTCTTTAATCCTAGCACTCTGGAGGTAGAGGCTGGAAGATTGGTATTAAGTTTGAGGTCAGTCTGGTCTATATAGCAAATTCCAAGCTAGCCAGAGTTACATAATGAAACCTGCCTCTAAATAAATAAATAAAACAAATTAAGCTCAGATTTCATTTAAGTTTAGGATAATGTTTTAACTTTTATATACACTGTTTCATGAGAATGTTTGGGGAATTGCCATTAGTATTGAGTTTAAATCTTACTCTCTGGAATTTTTCCTTGTCTTTAAATTTAGGCTCAGTGCTTCTACTCTAAAGACCTCTATTTTATGGACATGTAGGTTTTTTTTTTTATCTTGTTTTATGAGCATGGATATTTTGCCTGTCTGTTATATACTTGCACCCATGTGTGTGATGCCCCAGAGGGCCAGAAGAGGGTGTCAGATCTTGTAGAGCTGCAGTTACAGAAGGCTCTTAGCAGCCTTATGGGTGTTGGAAACCCAATTCAGATCCTTTGAAAGAGCAAGCAGTGAATGCTCTTAACTGCTGAGCCATCTTAAGTCCCAGGTAAGTAGGTTTTTAGGAGAATATAGAATGTTTTGTTTACTGTCACATTTAGGAAATGCACTTTATAAGTTTGGGAGATTTTTTAATACTATAGGTGATTCATTTATAAATATGATGAACATGTTACTAAACTTGTTAGCAATTCTTTGTCACTGGTCATGGTTTCCTGGTTAGTTTTACTCAGTTTCTGAGCCTAGTAGTCCAGCTACTGACTCAAATCAAACTCTCTTCATTTAAAAATTTAATACAGAGGCTGGTAGTTAACCCATGTACTGCTCTTTCAGAGAACCAGAGTTCTGTTCTCAGCGTCTGTGTCAGATAGCCCACAGCTTTCTAACTCCAGTTTCAAAAGATGTGATGCACTCACTCTTCTGCCCTGTGGGAAGCTGCATTCATTTGCTTATACTCCCGTACATACACATGCTTACACATAACTAAAAATAAAAATGAATCATTTAAAACTCTTAACCTGATGTGGTTAATCACAATGGCATGTATGTTCATAATCCCAGCACTTGGGAGGCTGAGAAAGGAGGATCATTCATTCAAGACCTGCCTGGGGCACATAGCGAGACTATGTTTCAGAAATTCCCAAAGTAAAATATTAAATAAA